AGGGAAGGGATCTGTATATCTTTAGCAAAAATACTTTATGTTGGCCCATTTTTAGCCCACACACAATCATTCTCATAGTCCATTTAAACATCCGATAAATTTAAAGACATTATTGGAGAATTTATGAAGATACCCGCGAGTGCCCTAATTCAACCGTGTCTGCACAAATAAAACTCCACTAATTAAAGATTTAGTGTGAACAAGCTTCCCCAAGTGGGAAACAGATACGGCACCAAATTTCTTCATGGGGAAAAAAACTTTTTAACCATGTGTTTTTACCCAAGACAATCCGCACAAATATTGTTACCAGGACCGGTCCTTACATCACCGATGTCTAACGCAAAAAAAAAACTTTTGATGCCCCTTCAAGACTTAAAATTTGTTTTTTATGCCCTTTCAAGACTCTATAAATTTCTAATATTTTTTGATGCCTAACGCAACCGGCGTCAACCCAGAACCGGCCCTGATTATTACAATGTAAAATTAAACAAATAAAATAAATAATTTTTTTTTTTTATCTCTATTCACTCAAACTCTTCCAATTTCGGAAAAAAACAGGTCAATCTCTAAAAAAAGCTAACATCTTCGCAACTGAGATATAGTCAAAAGTAGAAAACCTAATAATTCATCTTCGCATATTAAAAAGGGTTAAATTTAAAGAAAAAGTATTGATAATTATGTTGCTAACAAAAAAAAAAAAAACATAAGACAATGAATAATATTTTCTAACAAGAAATATGTATCTCTGTCTTGGTGATCCAACATGGTTTCTTCTTCAACTTGGCCTTCTCCTCTAACATGGCTAGCTTAAGTTTCTTAACCTCTTCTTTGAGTTCTCGAATCCGAGTTTCAGAAGTCTTCTTCTCCAAGGAAACCTTCTCAAGCTTTAAAGCTAACCATTCCACACTAAAACCAGCTTGTATCACATCAGACAATTCCTTTGAAGCTTTGGTCAAATCATCATCGTTGAGATCACGTAAAGTCTTGTGGTAAAGTCTCTTGATGATTCCGAATAAAAGGTTCATGTATCTTGTCCTTAGCTCATCGTCTTGCAATTTGACATTCACTGCTGTTTCTGGATATGTCTGAAAAATCCAGTCTGCTAACTTCACTTCCGAAGGATCGATGATGAAACCATGTGAAGTTATCTTTTTTTGTCTCTGCAATTGGTTCCCCATAACTCTTTAGAGAAATCGATTGGTAAATATTGTGAGAACAAAG